CTCTTTTTGTTGGCATTTATTGCAACCCCTTTCTTTTTCGTTTGTGCACCCTTCAACTGCCACTATTGTTATTGTTGTTGTTGTTGTTGTTGTTGGGTTATAAGGCTGTCCAATCTGGGAAAAAAATTATTTCCGCCTGGCTATGACTGATTCTGGAGTTATTCATCAATGATGATTATAGCTGGCGCTGTTTCTTTTTCTCTGGCTCAAATATTGATTCAGTGAGTTTCACAGCTTCCGTTCAATTGATGATGTGGGCAATAATTTAGGTGTCGACCGTGAACTGGGTGCGAGTAAAGGTTAACTGTGCAGTGCTAAACTATACTTTTCCTTTTTCTTCCTTTCTGAGAGAGTGAAGACGAACGTGAAATAATACAAATACAAAATAAACATTGGCCTTTAGACGTGTATACATTATAATTAACAACAAAAACCAAACATATAAAAAAATCATATAACTTGCTCTTTACATCACCTTGGCAAAGTTAGTTATAACTCGCCAGCTGCATTAGGGGCGTTCACACATAACATTTATCGAATTGGAACGCGATTGATTGATTGATTGATTGATGCAAAGGTTGTTTTTGTTGATTGATTGATTGATCGATTGATTGATTGATTGATTGATTGATTGATGCAAAGGTTGATTTTTGTTTGCGACATTCACACCGGATTCACACACAGGAGAATAGACCAGTTCACGGTTAGCACATTACTGCAATGACCCCGAATATCCACAGATCTTCAAAACATGAAGAGGTCCCACTTTGTACATTGTGAAATAATCACTCCTACAGCGACGGAGGTGCTATATACTATAGCCTTTGTTTTCCCCTTTTGAAAGAATACTTCCACCTGTGTATCATGGGGTGTACTGAATGTGCAAGAATGAATAACGATTACATAACTTTTATGAGCACGTATCCAGTACTTCGTCTCCGTGTATTTCACAATTTGTTCTGCAATGACCTTGATCTGCTCATGCTCAGACTGCAACCGTGAACTCGCTCGACGGCAAGAACGTCCGAACTGCGCATGCGTGAGTCTCGACGCCGTACGCGCGCTCGGAATCCTGGGATTAAATAATCAATATCATTCACACAAAATCAAAGCGCCTGGCAAACTATTGCGATTATTCTGAAAATTACTGCGAATTGGATCGCGAAAATTTATGAAATTATTCGAATCGATTTTTTTTTTTTTTAAACCTCACTTTTTGTTTGTAGGTGTGAACTCCCTTGTGGCTTTTTATTAAAAAACCACCAGAGCGTGCAGATGATGTTCTTTCACAAGAAATTATGTAAACTCCTTTTTTTTAGCTTCAGCCTTGAAAACAACTTTTTTCCTCTCTCGTATATATTTCTTACAGACCATTAAATAACATTCAATTGTTTCAGTCTCATGACAAAAATTACATAGGCCTTTTTTATGTTTGATATTATAATATTGATTATAATTTGCATTTTCTTATTCTCATTTTAATCTTTTATCTTTTCTACAAAATCCAGATAAGTTAATAAGTCTCGCTATATCAGAACGGATCTGAAATAGGAATCTTCCTTTATCTGTTGTTTCCCACTGATTTGCCATAATTGCTGATAAAATGACACATGTGATTTGTTAATTGAGATATATTCCGGTTTTTTTTGTGTGTGTCGCTTAGTCCCTGTGGTTCATTATGCGCAAGCATCCACTCGATTATGTCTATATATCTAAATAATGTCAGTTTCTCCGATATTTCTGCAATTATACTAGACTTTTCCCCTTGTTTTTCATAGCCTGCAGGGTTTGTATCGAATCTGGATACTGAAAAATAGTCCTCCTATCCACATGATGATCGCTGTCAGTTCGGCGGTCATATTATAACTTGGGTGGTTCTATAACCTCTACCTGGGACACGCGCCCCCACCCCCTCCCCTTTCACTACCTTTAATGCATGTATACAGCTTGTCCGTGTAAATTCTTCGTAATGATTTGGAATAGTTGTAAACAAAAACGAATATCAAAATAAAGTTAGTTGATTTCAATAGCTATAAATTTCAATTTGAAGGCAAAATGTATTTAGCAAGCGTCCGTGGCTATGACAAATATATCAGACAATTTTCTAATACAATTTTTATTCGTTTTTGTGACCTGATAGATTTTATCTATATTATTATCGGTTTGTGCTGTACAAGCTTGCAATGGATATATAATTCCAAATATTTGTATAGACTTTGATTATTTTTTTTTAAATCTTGAAACTTGAATACATTTAAAAAAATGTACCACCCCAGCTATTATTGGTTTTATTTCTTGTTCATAAATTATCTACATAAAAAAAATCACAAAAATTTATTTCTTCAGAATTCTGTTATTTATACCAAATAAAACGTTTTTATTAATAATAATTATGTGTGAGATCTACAAAGTAATCTATATGTATTACGTTCCTTGTGTTAGCTTTCTCCTCGAGTCATGCATTCTATCAAGTTCTTCTTTAAGCAAGTCTGTGCATATTTGCTAACATTCGTAATATTCATTCATCATTCATTTCGGTTTATAAAGAAAATCCCTGTAAAGAAAACAGTCCAAAGACTGATATACGTACATAGATGACATAGTTGCACATTTTCAAAATTGTATAAAAGAATCCCATACATTCACCAAAGTGGTATAAAATAATTCTATACAGTCACCAAACTTAACAGGGAACAAAAAATTGAGATTAGAAGTAAACAGTGAATTGTTTAACATATTGCCCTTCAAAATTATAATAAACATAAACAAAAAAAAATCCAATTTTAAAGACAAAACAAGAAAAATTGTACACGATATTATTACAGAAAAGGAAAAAAGGGAGAAAAATAATCAAAGTAGGCTTACTTACATATCGAATGTAGCGAGGAATCATGAAACAATGTTGCCCAGAGAGATGAATATAAAAGTATTACCTCTACTTATGAAAATAATATCAGAAGTGATGAGTAGTTTTAACAAACAAAATATACTTGTAAAGATGGTGGTCCACGGGCTAATGGGTAACAAGGGTGTCTCTCTAAGCGGAACACGTCCTTCAGGAGGTCGTAGAAACCACTCAGAGCCGAGTAGTGTGATTAGTAAGTGAACAGCAGGTAGTCGGGGGGGGGGGGGGAGAGAGAGTCTACCGCTAGACGTGGAATATACACGTTTTGTTATATATAGAGCATTACATATTTATGCACTTTTTCCAGGTTAATATTTGTGTTCTAAAACATAAAACAAGCTTTGTTTCATAAAACTTAGTATCTTTAACAAATGCTGAAACAATATCTTAAATTTGCTTTTATCTATCAAATGCAACAATTTTAATAAATTGTAAAAACTATTGTAACTTATTATTGCTAACAGTTTTCATGAAACGTTTATCTACATCTGCTGTGTAATATAATCGATCCATACATTTAAATGTAATCGGTCATTGCGCAAGAGAAGTATAGGTGGGAAGAGATATTTTTGGAATAACATTAATTGATCAAGGAAAATTGGTAAATCAATTAATTCTGGTAAAGTATTTGATTTTCATGGTAAGAGAACGTACTTCATCTATGACTGTGGATGATCTATAACTGTGGATGAAATTAAACGCAGTTTTCAAAGAAGATGAATTGGAATTGATGAAAGTAACTTTTCCCTGCATCTGAGATAATGGAAAAACTGGGAAGTTTTATGGAGGTGGAACGAAGGCAACAGCGTAAGTCATTTCGATATGTGACCCGCTACGGCAAAACCCGACGCTTCTCGGCAAATCCCATTGTGCTGTAGGCCCGTTTGAACATGAAATTTCGAATTTAGGGATCAACTGAGATTTTTGCATGATCAGAAAGTCTATTTTTTATAAATTGATTTAGAGAAAAAATGAACTCAAAAAACGATCTAGAAGTATTTTTAATTATATTTTGTATCTAATCATGTGCTCCATTGTCCAGTGAAATTAGTTGAAACAATGTGGTCAAAAGAAGGGAAAGTTCGCGATTCATCGCTTGTTGTTTTCCCTCTCAGTTGACCACGTTTGAGTCGATCCCTGACGTATTTGGTACGAAAATAACGAGTAAGGATCGGTTATTCCAAATATGGTTATATTGGGCGGTCCTAAATAAAATTGCCCAATGAAAAATGCCATGAAAGATGACATCATTTCGATGAGCTGTCAAGCAGGCCGTAAACAAATGCCTGTTGCCAGCCACGTGATCCAAATCCAGACACTTGATTCGCCAATATTCGCACATGACGTCATTGCCTTGTTGTTGTGATTGCTCAGCGGTCAAATTCTCGCATCGAAACACCAGCTTTTTTCTTCGAAAACTTGTTCAGAAGTTTGTTTTTAATGAGCTAGAGTTTCATATATCAAGTAAAATACGGGCATTATCGTGATCCAAGTCCCCAGGGACTCGGATCCACAGACACTTTTTAATCTGAAAAACATGTCCTAGAGTCTACCTTCCAAATTTGTTTCCACCAAAGCGCGCGTTTAATGGTACCTTTGAAGATGAAATATTACTTTCATTATAATTTTTTGTAATGATTATTATTGCTTTATTTAGTCAAGCCAATTTATCTAGTAGGCTTATTAGAAGTCCTTCACTGAATAAAGCAAACTATAATTCACATTTATTTAGTCAAGCACTGATTAGGCTGTATGATATTGAAGACGAAATATTACTTTCATTATCATTTTTAAAAATTATATTATTGCTTTATTTAGTCAAGCCAATTTATCTAGTAAACCTAATAAAAGTCCTTCACTAAATAAAGCAAACTATAATTCACATTTATTTAGTCAACCATTAATTAGGCTGAATGAATAAATATTATATTGATTGATTTCATCATGCCTTTAACGGTTATTGAAGACGAAATATGACTTATTATAATTTTATTAAATGATATTATTGCCTTATTTAGTCGAGCCAATTTATCTAGTAGGCCTATTAAGATTGAAGTAAAACACTATTAAACTGTCTATATATTCCTCGTGGTGCGAGTCCCCCCTCCGAAATTAATATGAGACGGCAATTAACCCGTTGATATTATCTACCCCTCATTTCCCTCCTCTTCAAGACCACACTGCCACTTTCAGACAGATACCTAGAGATGTTAAATTAATATCCGCTGTTAAAGTTTATTAATAAATCAAAAGAATCTGACTAAAAAACATTATAAAACTGTCTATATATTCCTCGTGGTGTAAGTCCCCCTTACATGTTAAAATCATCAAATTTCCCATAGAAGGGGACTTACACCACGACTAATATACTCCTCGTGGTGCGAGTCCCCCTCCGAAATTAATACGATACGGCAATTAACCCGTTGATATATTATCTACCCTCATTTCCCTCCTCTTCAAGACCACACTGCCACTTTCAGACAGTTACCTAGAGATGTTAAATTAATGTTCGCTGTTAAAGATTATTAATAAATCAAAAGAACCTGACTAAAAAACACTATAAAACTGTCTATATATTCCTCGTGGTGTAAGTCCCCTTTACGTGTTAAAATCATCAAATTTCCCATAGAAGGGGACTTACACCACGACTAATATACTCCTCGTGGTGCGAGTCCCCCCTCCGAAATTAATACGATACGGCAATTAACCCGTTGATATTATATACCCCTCATTTCCCTCCTCTTCAAGACCACACTGCCACTTTCAGACAGTTACCTAGAGATGTTAAAATAATATTCGCTGTTATAGTTTATCAATAAATCAAAAGAATCTGACTAAAAAAACACTATAAAACTGTCTATATATTCCTCGTGGTGTAAGTCCCCCTTACGTGTTAAGATCATCAAATTTCCCATAGAGGGAGACTCGCACCACGAGGAGTATATTAGTCGTGATCCGAGTCCCCTTCTACGAGAAATTTGATGATCATAACACGTAAAGGGGACTTGCACCACGAGGAATATATAGACAGTTTTATAGTGTTTTGAGTCATTTTATTTGATTATATTGAAGTTACCTAGAGATGTTAAAAGAATATTCGCTGTTATAGTTTATCAATAAATCAAAAGAATCTGACTAAAAAAACACTATAAAACTGTCTATATATTCCTCGTGGTGTAAGTCCCCTTTACGTGTTAAGATCATCGAATTTCCCATAGAAGGGGACTTACACCACGACTAATATACTCCTCGTGGTGCGAGTCCCCCTCTATGGGAAATTTGATGATCTTAACACGTAAAGGGGACTTACACCACGAGGAATATATAGACAGTTTTATAGTGTTTTGAGTCATTTTATTTGATTATATTGAAGTTACCTAGAGATGTTAAAAGAATATTCGCTGTTATAGTTTATCAATAAATCAAAAGAATCTGACTAAAAAAACACTATAAAACTGTCTATATATTCCTCGTGGTGTAAGTCCCCTTTACGTGTTAAGATCATCAAATTTCCCATAGAGGGGGACTCGCACCACGAGGAGTATATTAGTCGTGATCCGAGTCCCCTTCTACGAGAAATTTGATGATCATAACACGTAAAGGGGACTTGCACCACGAGGAATATATAGACAGTTTTATAGTGTTTTGAGTCATTTTATTTGATTATATTGAAGTTACCTAGAGATGTTAAAAGAATATTCGCTGTTATAGTTTATCAATAAATCAAAAGAATCTGACTAAAAAACACTATAAAACTGTCTATATATTCCTCGTGGTGTAAGTCCCCTTTACGTGTTATGATCATCAAATTTCCCATAGAAGGGGACTTACACCACGACTAATATACTCCTCGTGGTGCGAGTCCCCTTCTACGAGAAATTCGATGATCTTAACACGTAAGGGGGACTTACACCACGAGGAATATATAGACAGTTTGATAGTGTTTTGAGTCATATTATTTATCATATTGAATGATAGAAAAGAGACTAAGAATACAGAATATTACGTCGTTTGAAATAGTGTCCTAGCCAGTATTTTTTGCATCAATACAAATATGTGTGGTGGAAGGAAATCCCCCGTGTAGGAATGTTCTGTGTGAAGCTTCGCATCGTGGACAATAGATTTCTTTGACAACCTCCCAACCGTGAATCCTTTAGAAAGATTGCTGGAAAATAAGGTACGTCTCAAGTTTGTCCCCAGTGACTCGGATGACGATATAGCCAAAATACGTGTATTCATCGAGTGGCTAGAACAATGTCGAGGAAAAAGAGGAATTTAACGGATAAAACCGTCGCTTCTTTGTTGAATGATGCATCGGCGTGCGGTATGCCGTGCATGGCTTGACCGAACACCTGGCTGACTACTTCGCGAACCCGACCGGGCCGAGCCCCCGGCCGCGGGCGAGAGAGGAACTCCTTCGTCTCCTAGCTCCGACTCTGATTCTGGTAGGTTTATTAATATTATCATTATTAAAAAGGTATTCAAGTTACTTAGTTAGGTCTACGCCCATATTATTTATTAAAGACTTGTTTCGCCAAAATGTTCGAGCAACAAAAGCTAGATTAGACATTTTAAGTGCACTATTATTTAAATTAAAATTTATTATTAGATTTATGAAGCATCTCATACCTATACAAAAATCTCTGCGGAGTCTAGACTACTTGTTGATATTAGTTTTTGAATCTCTATTTTATAATTATACTTAACAGAGTCTGATGAGTTCGAGGAGGCAGGTCCATGACCAGCAGAGCCATGTGAAAGCGGCGATGAAAGCGGCGATGAAAGCGATTGGGTCGATGAGGCAGATGCATGCAGAGGAGCCTATGGATTTGTCAAGTGACAATGAAAGCGTCATACTGGGACCGGGTCCTGTCATTGATGACGAGGAGGAGGCGGCAGCAGCTACAAATCTGGCCCAACAAATACATGTAGATCTTGATCTGGAACCGCTGAAGGACCGCGTGAATAAATGCAACTGCCGTATCTTCAATCGAAGACGCTGTATCAAACAATTCTCTGTAGCCGAACAAGAGTCCATAAGGTATAATTGGATCTGTCACTATTTACTTGTATTTCTTTATAATAATGTCTAAGGACTGGATGTTTATGTACAAGCTGCAGTTTAATGCAAAATATACTTACATTTATTCTAAGCTAATTATATTTTCTCCTATTTTGCAGCATTAATCAGTAGACCCTAACATATGCTTTAAAAAAAATACTTCACCACTAAACTGTACCAAGCATAATAAATATTATAATTGAGATCCTTAGGAAAACGTTGCAAAGCTCTGTCCAAATTTCAAGTGTTTTAATGAAATGAAATTTGCTACAATACATTTACTCTTTTCTTCTTCCAAGTCAACCAACTTTTACTTTATTGTGAGCTGGTGTTTTCCATTTGAGAATGATCTACTATTGTAGTGTAACAAAAAATATTTACTTTGTAAAGAAAAATAGTAGATGCGAAAATTTGACTAATCAGGAGATTTTTGTTTCGTTTTGCTTTTTCCCTCATGTCTGCAGGTCAATGTTCCTAAAGAACAGAAGACAGAGGCACTCAGGAGGCAGGAGGAGCATCTTCTACAGGACAGCCTGTCAAGCCTTACAGGCAGTCGCGATAGAGCTCTCCATCAAGAAGCTAGGGAAGAAGACTGCGAACTCCAAGCCTGTAGTTTTTCATTACAGATTCGACTTTGCACAGCAAGTGCATTATCCAGTTGACCCCCAACAACCTGGCCCTTCGTATTTCCGTACACAAAGAAAGTGCCACATCTTTGGCATGTCTTATCCTATGTACATACTATTGATCTCTTCGGCTGTGAATTTTGTATGAAACAAGATAACTCAAGAGATTCGAAACTGTTCATCATTAATTCTTGGGCACTAATGCATAATAGTTTATGATTAGTGTAGTCACTAGTCAGATTGCATTTGTTATGGGATTCGTTATTGTTTTTTCTTTACTTTGATAATGAAAGAATATATTTTATATCTGATACTGATTGACTGAAATTAATATTTTTGCATTATTAATCTCTATCTCAAGAAGACAACAGCTCTGTCAAATGGTCTCAACTGTTACTTTATTGTACATTCCTAAATGAACCAGGATATTTTTACAATACATGTATTATAGGTTATCTGTTGTCGAGTGACTTACACGATATCTTTTTTTTTCTCAAATAGTCTTGATTAAGACTAATGCTTTATATCATAGCCTTTATTAAATATGACAAAATATCAATCATTTTGAACTCGCTTTATTTGTTCCAGTAATTATCATTTGAAAAATAGATTCTGACGGGTTTCAAGTTCAACGCAATTCGTTATTTCACTTTATTGCAATCTTATTTTTAATATATTTTTTTTAAATCATTTTTATTACATCTGGTTTTGTAATAGGCCTATTATTAAGCATAAATTTTAAGAAAATGCACTATTACATTTTATTATTGCAACATTGATGTAACCTGCTACTATTTTGTGTACAAGAACAAATTCTGTACTGATGAAACATAATAAACCGTGGAATCGTTTTCCCATCAACTTTGCCTAGTATAACAAAAACTTTGAAATTCTTTTGTTTTCTATTGTTTTTAAAAATTATCATAACTTTATTAATATTTTTCCAAATCTAATGGTTTTAACAGAAATGTAAGTTGGGTATGTGTCTAGTATGCCTGTAAAATAACAAGACTTTAGCTTGTTTGGTTGATGCCGTTGCTATGAAGTGAATGTATGCATGTTTTTTGTGTGAAAATTGAACCAAATTCTTAACTTTAAACCTCAATATCTCATAATCAACTTCCGGTGATTGAAATCACAAAAATCACAATAACTTTGTCAAATTTCAATCAATTTTTTTAAATGAGGTATCATCTTAAAGGTCATACTTTACTCTTTCCAATGATACCAAGAACTCAATTTTTATTTTTACCATGAAGTGTTGGGTTTTGCCATAGCAGGTCACATATAGTAAAGAAACCTGTCCCAAAATCCATTTTCTTTCCCCATAAGTAGAATTGAAGGGGAGAGGGAGGGGGAGGGGGTTAAGTCCAATGAGTTAGAGAAGAGGGAAGGGATGGAGATGGTAGGGGCAGATTGTGAGATTTTGTATAAAGAACAAACTCATAATTTAAATTAATTTATGTTGAGAAATATGAAAATCAAAATGTTAGGAGTATTCAATTTTGTTCTGAAAAAAAATGTTTGTTCTAGTTTGGGGGTTGAAATAACTGCGTATACAATAGTGCGTTAATATTTTCCTATTATATGTATGTAATTATGCTATTTATTAAGTCATAATATACATGTACATTGTGAAATTATGAACAATGAATAATGTTATACTGTAACAGTAAGTTTAAGGTTGCACCGTGTGAGAGAGAGGGGGGGGGGGGGGGGGATTGGGGAGTCCTGAAAAGGATTGTCGGTAATCTCTCTTTCTAGAGCTTGTGTGTAATCCTGAAAAAGACTGTTGGTAATCTTTCTTGAGCTTATAGTTCTAAGGAGAACTATAGCGTCGGTTGAAGAAGATGGGTAGTAGGAGTGGCTCGACGTTTCGAACAGGTTGAATATCCGTCGTCAGGAGTCGACAGCAATTATGTTGTGTTCAAGTTCGTTTATCAAATGTTAGAAAGTTTGTCACATAATTATGTTTCAGCTGGTATAAAAACTAGGAATTTGGAAATCGCTTTCCTTCTATGTTATGTTCCTATGCTATGTTAACAGTAAAATTGGAAATTTTCTGGTTTCTTCGTTTGTCAATCTTAATTAGTATAATTCATAATAAGATATGATTTGATTTTTTTTTTTCTCGGCTTTTCATAGAAGTCGATTGAGAAAACAACAAAATCTTGACTTATGTCACTCGATAAATACAAGAAAACTATCTTCTGCAGATAGATCCACTCCGCATATCACTACAGGGTCTGTGAGTGAAGAATACGGTAGCTCTCGGTAAATCTGCATTTTTGAGTTAGGCAAAATTCTGACAAATCGTACAATGAGTTTGAGGACCAGAATAAGAGTATTGAATTGTTACATCTACCCAGTACTTATGTATGGTAGTGAAACATGGACTTTAGCCTCTGATACTAAAAAGCGTTTGGAAAGTTGCGAAATGTGGTTTTTAAAAAGAATGATGAAAACCCCCTGGACTGACAAAGTTATTAATGTGGAAGTTTTTACACGAGCTGGAGTGCAAAGGAAAATGATACGTGAGATGTTGATTAGGCAGTTGAAGTTCATGGGTC